AAGTGCTTAAATTAAAGTGCAATTACAGTGGTAGTGATGGTGATTTTGATTTAACCTACATGGAAAACGCTAATTAAAGAACTATAAAGCGTCAATGTATAAAAGTCACTGGTTAAGACGCGTTTCTTCATTTTTTTAATTTCAGCGGGGTGCGAAATTTGCAAACGATTATCACTGAAAACTTGTAATTTCTAATTTTGAATGTTTAGTTGCTGTAACCGATTAAATTAAAGTGCAATACAGCGGTAGTAAATTAATTTGCTAATTAATCACAAGTAATTGGCAATTTGTCAACGAAAAGGAATTAATGCTTCTAGTTTGTGATCAGGGTTTTTGTCTTAGCTACTGGCACGTCTTCGATCAGGTCAGTTATTTACACAAAAGAAAGCGAACTCCCGATGATGTTACAGTTACCACTCGATACCTACGTGTTTTAAATTAAAAAAAATTATTAATAACTTTCACCATTTGGCACTGACAATGAATTTCATTACACAATTCTGCACTTTCACGGTCCGAAACGTACCCAAATTCTCTTCAAAGTACACAATCATCCATGAATTATGCATAACGCCCGATGACTAAATAAGTTTCCAAATTTTTTAATTAATTGCGGTGGCGCGAGCGGCAAAAAAGGGCGCGTCCAAAGCGAGAAGAAAACGGTAGGCGTCGACGGTGAAAGTGAGATAAACTTTCAGTGCAATTAACCAACACTTTAACAGTCAATTAATCAAATTTAAGCTCTTGTGTTGGTCAGTTGAATTTAAACGGCGATTTAAGTTACTGGTAGCGCGATTTAATTGAAATTAAAAATGAGAAAATATTTGAAATCGAAATTCCCTAAATTGGATTGAAACAGTAAAGTAAAAGAGTAATTACGGGTTCTAGTTAGTGAAATAACCCCATTGGCCTATAGGAAACGCTTTAAATCGTAATTTGCTTTTAATTAATTAGCAATTATAAGTTCGCTACTAAGTGGCAATTGCTTTCAAATTCCCGACTTTGCTGAAATTAGAAAAATGGAGAATGACCGTTTTCCTTATCACTTACGGCTCTAATTTGAGTACTTACAGTAGCGTAAAGATTGATAATTGGTGATTGTGATTAATTAAATAATAATTACGTGATAATTGATTTTGAATTTCTGACTTTATTAATATTAGAAAAATTACGAACTTAGCTGCATGTCATTTTGAGCAGAATAGCAGAAATAATCTTAATTAGATTGTGACTAATTATCCGTTTTAAGTTGATTGCTAAGTAATTAGCTTCCAATTTCAGATAGTCAAAATTTGCGAAAATTATTGATAAAATCGAGAGGGAATGAAAAAAACTCAAGCAGATTCTTTGGAATTGTTTTTTGAATACTCAAAAATTGAATTCTTTTGCACCCCTTTTTTTTGAAAATTGTGACGGCAATCGTTAGTTAATAAAATTTAGAGGGCATACGAAATAAACATCTTCGGCTTATTACGTAAGTGAGTTCCATAATGGGGTAGTTGGGATATGCATTTTTTAAAAAAGTAAGAAAAATTGTTTTCAAAATCGAGGGGGCATCAACAAAAAAACACCCCACCCTCATTGCCAAAGTAACTGGTTATACGTAATCTTGACGGAATTAAGTCTTGTGCGCCCTCATTTAACAGTGCTCCATCTTGGGGTGGTTTGGGCATGAATTTTTGAAAAATAGTAACAAAAATTGTTTACAAAATCCAGGGGGCATTACCAAAAAACACCCCATCCTCATTGCTAAAGTAACTGGTTACGTAATCTTGATGGAATTAAGTCTTGTGCACCCTCGTTTAAGTGTGCGCCATCTTGGGGTGGTTTGGGAACGAATTTTTGAAAACAGTAGGAAAAATTGTTTACAAAATCGAGGTGGCGACACCAAAAAACACCCCACCCCCATTGCTAAAGTAACTGGTTACGTAATCTTGATGGAATTAAGTCTTGTGCGCCCTCATTTAAGTGTACTCCATCTTGAGGTGGTTTGGAGATGAATTTTTGAAAAAACGTAAGAAGAATTGTTTACGAAATCGAGGGGGCATCACCAAAAATCACCCCACCCTCATTGCTAAAGTAACTGGTTACGTAATCTTGATGGAATTAAGTCTTGTGCGCCTTCGTTTAGGTGTGCGCTATCTTGGGGTGGTTTGGGCATGAATTTTTAAAAAAGTAAGAAAATTTGTTTACAAAATCGAGGGGGAATCACCAAAAAAACACCCCACCCTCATTGCTAAAGTAACTGGTTACGTAATCTTGATCGAATTAAGTCTTGTGCACCCTCGTTTAAATGTGCTCAATCTTGGGGTGGTTTGGACATAAGTTTTTGAAAAAACGTAAGAAGAATTGTTTAACAAATCGAGGAGGCATCACCAAAAATCACCCCACCCTCATTGGTAAAGTAACTGGTTACGTAATCTTGATGGAATTAAGTCTTGTGCGCCCTGGTTCAAGTGTGCTCAATCTTGGGATGGTTTGGGCATGAATTTTTGAAAAAAGTAGGAAGAATTGTTTACAAAATCGAGGGGGCATCACCAAAAAAAAACACCCCACCCTCATTGCTAAAGTAACTGGTTACGTAATCTTGATGGAATTAAGTCTTGTGCGCCTTCGTTTAGGTGTGCGCCATCTTGGGGTGGTTTGGGCATGAATTTTTAAAAAAGTAAGAAAATTTGTTTACAAAATCGAGGGGGAATCACCAAAAAAACACCCCACCCTCATTGCTAAAGTAACTGGTTACGTAATCTTGATGGAATTAAGTCTTGTTCGCCCTGGTTTAAGTGTGCTCCACCTTGGGGTGGTTTGGGAATTAATTTTTGAAAAATAGTAAGAAAAATTGTTTACAAAATCGAGGGGGCATCATCAAAAAACACCCCACCCTCATTGCAAAAGTAACTGGTTACGTAATCTTGATGGAATTAAGTCTTGTGCGCCCTCGTTTAAGTGTGCTCCACCTTGGGGTGCTTTGGGCATGAATTTAAAAAAAGTAGGAAGAATTATTTACAAAATCGAGGGGGCATCCCCAAAAAACACTCCACCCTCATCGCTAAAGTAACTGGTTACGCAATCTTGATGGAATTAAGTCTTGTGCGCCCTCGTTTAAGTGTGCTCAATCTTGGGGTGGTTTGGACATGAATTTTTGAAAAAAAGTAGGAAAAATTGTACAAAATCGAGGGGACATCACCAAAAAACACCCCACCCTCATTGCTAAAGTAACTGGTTACGTAATCTTGATGAAATTAAGTTTTGTGCGCTCTGGTTTAATTGTGCTCCATCTTGCGGTGGTTTGCGCATGAATTTTTGAAAAAGTAAGAATAATTGTTTACAAAATCGAGGGGGCATCGCCAAAAAAAACCCCACCCTCATTGCTAAAGTAACTGGTTACGTAATCTTGATGGAATTAAGTCTTGTGCGCCCTGGTTCAAGTGTGCTCCATCTTGGGGTGGTTTGGTTATGAATTTTTGAAAAAAAATAGGAAAAATTGTACAAAATCGAGGGGGCATCGCCAAAAAAAACCCCACCCTCATTGCTAAAGTAACTGGTTACGTAATCTTGATGGAATTAAGTCTTGTGCGCCCTGGTTCAAGTGTGCTCCATCTTGGGGTGGTTTGGTTATGAATTTTTGAAAAAAAATAGGAAAAATTGTACAAAATCGAGGGCGCATCACCAAGAAAACACCCCACCCTCATTGCTAAAGTGACCGGTTACGTAATCTTGATGGAATTCAGTCTTGTGCGCCCTCGTTCAAGTGTGCTCCAACTTGGGGTGGTTTGGGCATGCATTTTTGAAAAAAAGTAAGAAAAATGGTTTACAAAATCGAGGGGGCATCACCTAAAAGCACCCCACCCTCATTGCTAAAGTAACTGGTTACGTAATCTTGATGGAATTAAGTCTTGTGCGCCCTGGTTTAGGTGTGCTCAATCTTGGGGTGGCTTAGGCATACATTTTTAGAGAAAGTAAGAAAAATGGTTTGCAAAATCGAGGGTGGCGTCACCTAAAAACACCCCACCCTCATTGCTAAAGTAACTGGTTACGTAATCTTGATGGAATTAAGTTTTGTGCGCCCTCGTTTATGTGTGCTCCACCTTGGGGTGGTTTGGGCATGCATTTTTGAAAAAAGGTGAGAAAAATTATTTACAAAATCGAGGGGGCATCACCAAAAAAACACCCCATCCTCATTGCTAAAGTAACTGGTTACGTAATCTTGGTGAAATTAAGTCTTGTGCGCCGTGGTTTAAGTGTACTCAATCTTGGCGTGGTTGGGACATGAATTTTTGAATAAACGTAAGAAGAATTGTTTACGAAATCGAGGGGGCATCGCCAAAAATCACCCCACCCTCATTGCTAAAGTAACTGGTTACGTATTCTTGATGGAATTAAGTTTTGTGCGCCCTCGTTTATGTGTGCTCCATCTTGGGATGGTTTGGGCATGAATTTTTGAAAAATAGTAAGAAAGTTTGATTACAAAATCGAGGGGGCATCACCAAAAAATACCCCACCCTCATTGCTAAAGTAACTGGTTACGCAATCTTGATGAAATTAAGTCTTGTGCGCCCTCGTTCAAGTGTGCCCCATCTTGGGGTGGTTTAGACATGAATTTTTGAAAAAATGTAAGAAAAATGGTGTACAAAATCGAGGGCGCATCACCAAGAAAACACCCCACCCTCATTGCTAACGTAACCGGTTACGTAATCTTGATGGAATTCAGTCTTGTGCGCCCTCGTTCAAGTGTGCTCCGTCTTGGGGTGGTTTGGGCATGAATTTTTGAAAAATAGTAAGAAAAATAGTTTACAAAATCGAGGGGGCGTCACCAAAAAACACCTGAGGTTTATTAGTTAAAGTAATTGAAGAATTTTTTGAAATTTCAATAATTTTTCGCCCCCTGTTTCGGGTCTTGGGGGGGGGGGGTATGAATTTTTTTAAATGTCGTTTAGAAAATCGAGATTGTCAAAAAATAACAAGTGAGCTCAAAATCGATTATAAAAAATAGTGTGTCATGGTATTTAAAAATTCATCACATTATCGGCTATTACCTAGTAAATAAATAAGTACATACAGGCAAATATATACAAAATGTTCCTATCACTAACACTAGTGAGCAATTAGTAGGTGTATCAACGGTTCGCGACTCCTCTTTGGTTATTAGAATTATCAATTATCCTAGTCTATAATTACAAAAATCAGTACTATTATTACAACTGGTGGTTGCACTACGCGCACTTTTTCCCAGTGAGTACCCCAACCAGTACTCTTTGATCAAGTCCGAGCCTTTCTCTCCGATCATCAAAACGGGAGCGTTGATGTTGCCGCTTGTGATGTACGGCATAATCGAGGCGTCTACGATTCGCAGGCCGGACACTCCGTAAACCCTCAGCTTGGGGTCGACCACGGCGAGGGGGTCGGTTTTGGGTCCCATTTTCGCGCTGCACGAGTAGTGGTAGATGGTGAGGGTGTACTGGCGAACCGCGCAGTCCCAGTACTCGTCGGTGAAGAGAGGAAGGTGCTTGCAGTTGGGATAGGGGACGCTGTGGAACGTGGAGCCGAACCTTTTCATCGCGGTGGTTTGGCCGAAGGCTATACTGGCCTTGATTCCCTCGCGCAGGACGGCGACATCGTGCGGATCCGTGAGGTAGTTGTGATACATCAGAGGGTAGCGCAGGGGATTTTTCGATTGCAATTTGATGACCCCCGTGCTTTTGGGGCGCAGCATCATCGGGAAGATGCTGAAGACGTCCTTGGCGTTGATGCTCTTGAAGACGGCGTCGTAGAACTCGTCGGAGAGCCCGTGGGCGCGCTTCACCTGGGTGCCGCTGTCTTGGTTCGTGGAGGTGCTCAAGATCATGAACTCCATATCCGGCCAGTCATCGGAACGGTTCGCGTACTTGGTCGAAATGAAGCCGACGGTCTCGATGCCTACGCTCGACGTCAAAGGTCCGTCGCCGAAGATGGCGTACCTCAGCGCGGTGTTGATGTTCGATATGCGATGGGTGAGGATGGCGACAGGCTTGTTGATGAGGAACGTAATTCCACCGGCGGCGATGTGGTCCTGCACGTTCTTGCCGACTCCTGGTGAATCGTGCAGGACGGGTATGCCCATGTCCTCCAGGTGATCAGCGGGCCCGACGCCGCTCAACATCAGCAGCTGGGGGGTGTTGATCGCGCCGGCCGAAAGTATCACCTCCCTCTTCGCCATGACCGTCTGCAGCAGGCCGTGCTTTATGAATTGGACCCCGTAGGCGCGCTTCGTGTCCGGATCAATCAGCACCTTCGTCGCGTGCGTCCACATCGAAATGTGGAGGTTGGGACGCAATCTCACCGGACGCAGGAACGCCTTCGCCGCGCTACACCTCGTCCCTCTACGCATCGTGAATTGAAACAGGGCGAAACCCGTCTGCTGTTCGCCGTTGATGTCCCGAATGTCGTATCCCATCTCCTGACCGGCCTGCAGGAAGGCTATCCCCAGCGGGGTGTTGTAGGGGGACTCCTGGATCGTCTGGTACCCACCGGTCGCGTGGTACTTTTTGTTGCGGGCCAGATACGGATTGCGTTGATCTTCACTTTTGAGGAAGTACGGGAGGACGTCATCGTAACCCCAACCTTCGTTGCCCAAATCTCGCCAGCGATCGAAGTCGCGTCGGTTGCCGCGTACGTATAACATCGTATTGAGGACACTGGAACCGCCCAAAACCTTTCCACGAACCCAGTTGCATCGCTGATCAACCATCGCCTGACATGCCGAACTTTGTGGCTGCGTCCTGCAAAAAGAGTACATTTCATTGCTGCTTTTTGCTGAATTTTTTTGCTGAAATTCAAATTTGGTAGTACTTCAATTATTGGTGTAAAATTGAGTTATCGTTGAACCTATAATATCCAAAATTTTATTTCTCTGCTGAATTCGTTTGCTGAAATTCAAGCATTTGCCAAATGTGTGAATGGGAAGTACCATAAATTAACTTTCACATATTACTTATCGAAACCAAAAATCTGTCCAATTCGAAATTCCCAAAATTGCCGAAGTCTTTGCTGATCTTTCGCTATTACAGCAAATCTTTTGCTGAAATTTGCTGAATCGTCTACGAGCGCAAACTTACCTGTATCCCCAGTCAACTTTGCTCCTGTGCAGATACAAGCTGAAAATCGGCACGTCCGTCAGTTCCGTTTCCGGTCCGCCGGCCTCGATGAGCAGCACCTTCCAGGACGGAACTTCGGTCAGCCGATTCGCGACGACCGACCCCGCGCTACCCGCGCCGACTACGACGAAGTCGTACTCGGAGTCGACGCGCGCAACGGACACCGGCTGCGATTCCGGATCGTAGAGGTCGTACCGGAAGTAGGCGAGCGACGCCAAGAGGAACGGGATGAGGGTGACGCGTCCGACGCCGAACGTGCTCGCAGTTTTAACGGCGGTCAAAAAAAGTGACGCCATCGCTCAGCATCTTGTTTTCGCCATGCCAAGAAAAAAATGAAACGGGCTCCTCGAAAATTCTCACTTACATCTCAGTTGACCTCCTCAGGACGGTCTTGCTTTCTTGCCTTTTGAGGAGAAATCTGAAATGAAATAGAATTACGCGTCTGTGTGTGTAAGAGCCGAAGAAGAGAATGGGGGCAACCTGTGGCTAACCGCAAGGTGACACTAAAGTCTTCAATTCGCCCAACCATTAATCTTTTATCGGTTTATTCGTATATATTTATATCATGACCTTTTTTTTAAATTTAAAGCTTCCACAAATTTTATTTGAATTTCCTGGAAAATCTCTACTTCAACAAGGATATAGAAGTTTGTTCTTTCAAAGAAAAGTAATCATTTGCGCTTTGGTTTCTGAAATTGTTCAAAATGGAACCTGGAATTAGGGCAAAATGTTGAATTTTGAAAATTTGAAGCTTCCACAAATTTTATTTGAATTTTCCGGAAAATCTCTACTCCGACAAGAATATAAAAGTTTGTTCTTTCAAAGAAAAGTAATCATTTGCGCTTTGGTTTCTGAAATTGTTCAAAATGGAACCTGGAATTAGGGCAAAATGTTGAATTTTGAAAATTTGAAGCTTCCACAAATTTTATTTGAATTTTCCGGAAAATCTCTACTCCGACAAGAATATAAAAGTTTGTTCTTTCAAAGAAAAGTAATCATTTGCGCTTTGGTTTCTGAAATTGTTCAAAATGGAACCTGGAATTAGGGCAAAATGTTGAATTTTGAAAATTTGAAGCTTCCACAAATTTTATTTGAATTTTCCGGAAAATCTCTACTCCGACAAGAATATAAAAGTTTGTTCTTTCAAAGAAAAGTAATCATTTGCGCTTTGGTTTCTGAAATTGTTCAAAATGGAACCTGGAATTAGGGCAAAATGTTGAATTTTGAAAATTTGAAGCTTCCACAAATTTTATTTGAATTTTCCGGAAAATCTCTACTCCGACAAGAATATAAAAGTTTGTTCTTTCAAAGAAAAGTAATCATTTGCGCTTTGGTTTCTGAAATTGTTCAAAATGGAACCTGGAATTAGGGCAAAATGTTGAATTTTGAAAATTTGAAGCTTCCACAAATTTTATTTGAATTTTCCGGAAAATCTCTACTCCGACAAGAATATAAAAGTTTGTTCTTTCAAAGAAAAGTAATCATTTGCGCTTTGGTTTCTGAAATTGTTCAAAATGGAACCTGGAATTAGGGCAAAATGTTGAATTTTGAAAATTTGAAGCTTCCACAAATTTTATTTGAATTTTCCGGAAAATCTCTACTCCGACAAGAATATAAAAGTTTGTTCTTTCAAAGAAAAGTAATCATTTGCGCTTTGGTTTCTGAAATTGTTCAAAATGGAACCTGGAATTAGGGCAAAATGTTGAATTTTGAAAATTTGAAGCTTCCACAAATTTTATTTGAATTTTCCGGAAAATCTCTACTCCGACAAGAATATAAAAGTTTGTTCTTTCGAAGAAAAGTAATCATTCGCGCTTTGGTTTCTGTAATTGTTTGAAATGGAACCAGGAATTAGGGCAAAATGTTGAATTTTGAAAATTTGAAGTGTCCACAAATTTTATTTGAATTTTCCGGAAAATCTCTACTTCGACAAGGATATAAAAGTTTGCTTTTTCAAAGTAAAGTAATCATTCGCGCTTTGGTTTCTGCAGTTGTTCAAAATGGAACCGGGAATTAAGGCAAAATGTGGAATTTTCAACATTTGAAGCTTCTACAAATTTTATTTGAATTTTCCGGAAAATCTCTACTTCGACAAGGATATAACAGCTTGTTCTCTCAAAGAATAGTAATCATTCGCGCTTTGGTTTCTGCAATTGTTCAAAACGGAACCTAGAATTAGGGTAAAATGTGGAATTTTCAAAATTTGAAGCTTCCACAAATTTTATTTGAATTTTCCGGAAAATCTCTACTTGGACAAGGATATAAATGTTTGTTCTTTCAAAGAAAAGTAATCATTCGCGCTTTGGTTTCTGCAATTGTTCAAAATGGGCCCTGGAATTAGGGCAAAATGTGGAATTTTCACAACTTGAATCTTCCGCGAATTTTATTTGAATTTTCCGGGAAATCTCTACTTCGACAAGGATACAAAAGTTTGTTCTTTCAAAGAAAAGTAATCATTCGCGCTTTGGTTTCTGAAATTGTTCAAAATGGAACCTGGAATTAGGGCAAAATGTGGAATTTTCAAAATTTGAAGCTTCCACAAATTTTATTTGAATTTTCCGGAAAATCTCTACTTCGACAAAGATATAAAAGCTTGTTCTTTCAAATAAAAGTAATCATTCGCGCTTTGGTTTCTGAAATTGTTCAAAATGTAACCTGGAATTGGGGCAAAATGTGGAATTTTCAAAATTTGAAGCTTCCACAAATTTTATTTGAATTTTCCGGGAAATCTCTACTGCGACAAGGGTATAAAAACTTGTTCTCTCAAAGAAAAGTAATCATTCGCGCTTTGGTTTCTGAAATTGTTCAAAATGCAACCGGGAATTAGGGCAAAATGTGGAATTTTCAAAATTTGAAGCTTCCATAAATTTTATTTGAATTTTTCGGAAAATCTCTACTTCCACAAGGATATAAAAGCTTGTTCTTAGAGAATTTGCCCTAAATTCCGTTGCCATTTTGAACAATTCAGAAACCAAAGCGCGAATGGATTTACTTTTATTTGAAAGAAC